GCTGTATAGTTATAATCTATGATACCCGAGGATCATTATGCTATAATTTGGACATTTTAACACAATATTCATCTAAAACAACTTAATAAAAGAAACAAGTCCACTGATTTCCGCGTTAGAAAACTGTGGTGCCAAATCGGAGCAGACGCTGCAGTAAATGTCATCATAATAAAGAGTGGAGAAGTTGGCCCCTCCGATGGATAGCTGCACATCGCGTTAGCAAGCAGATTTTTTTCATTTGTGCCAAACTGACTAAGCTGCCAAATCCTTTGTGTATAACTGACTGAAGAAAATGAAATCGGAGAATGAAGTAAGTACAGAGTGTGGGCGTATGCCAGGGGCGATGAAAGCAGAGATTGATCAGCAATATGGCATCCTGAAAACAAGTGATTAAAGATTGCTCAAGCATGCACAAATCACTCAATATACAATTTCAGTTTGTGTGAGTAAATGGTGAAAAGTCAATTTTGGTAAAATTGTTTCACAATTATTCACAATTACTAACACCAGGACCACACAGTGTCAACATTTCTGTAGTCTGTGACCAGCTGTGGGAAATCAAACCTTCTGAACAATGAGTTTCCTCCACAAAGAACCACAAATAACAAAATGTCCAGTTTTACTCTGCATAAAACTACTAACCCTGTAGTTTAAATGTCCAAAGTTGACTCTTGTCAGCTTTAAGCCATGTTAGAATGTTGTTGCTTTATCAAAAACATTTTTTGTTTCATTCATACTTTTGAGTCACCCTTTATCATTAGACTGTCTACATCTCCAGAGCTCAAAACACTCTGTTCCACATTGTGATGTCCTGAAGCAGTGGCTAACAGCTACCTTGTAACTTTTGTTTAGTAGAAATGGGAAATTCCAAGGTTGAACTTATCCAAATGATTCTAGTGAAGGTGTATAGAGTTTAAAATACAGTGGAGCATTTCCTCTATTACCATATGACACATATGAGTGTTTTGTGAATGACATAAAACTCTAAATATGCAGGGTTTGTGTGTTAAACATGTCTGAATTAACAAAACACAACTCAAGGTCTGTTTGTGATGAGAAAGCAAAATTATAACATTTGAAAATAATGTAATACTGGCGTTTCACAGTGAATGTGTAAATTTTGCATTGAAACATCTTAAAACTAGAGCCCGACCGATATATCGGTTGGCCGATATTATCAGCTGATAGCCGATATGCCTCCAGGTGCCCATATCGGCCGATAATATCGGCCAACCGATATATCGGTTACCAATATATGCTTGCTGATAGGAGCCGATATTTCAAGTGGGCATGTGATACGTCGTTAAAAATCTTAGACTCTCTACATTATGTTCATTTAATCCAGTTTACAGACAGATAAATGTCCTAATATGTGGCTCCACATCAATATTTATCTACGGAGTCATTTGTCTGTGTGCGTCCGTACTGTCCCTGAACACACCACAGAGTCGTGTCACTCACCTGCGTTTGTTTACACTCGCAGATACAGATCCAAACACTGAGATTATATTCTTTTTACGGACAATCGGTTTGAGTCTGAATTAAAAGGACATTTATTAGTGCAGATTTGTGATGTGAGGAGGAGCCTGTATGAGCGGTGAGTGTTGGAAATATGTCGACTTTGAAGCTAGTTTTAGTCATTCGTTATGGGTTAGCTGCTGTAGCTCCCGCACATAAACAGACTGTTTTCTATTGGTCTATTGTAAAGTGACTATATTGGCCGTATATTTGTTACTGGACCTGCACTGATATGTAAATGAGCTGTGAATAGACGTGTGAATTATGACATTTGCGCATATAATTAATTACCGCGGCGCGCAGCATTTACGGTTAAAGGCTAATAGCGCTAGTTTATTTACTAGTTATGGGTCCGTCACGAACAAAATGACTCTTAGATCCGGCTCTTTGAAGCAAACGACGGGAGCCTGATCCTTATTGGGAGCCGTGTTTTCTCTTTCTCTCACTTTTTTTCTCTTCACGCCGCGTGCAGACTCGTGATAGTTTGACAGCGACAGCGGCTGAAAACGAAACTTTGAGAAATGTGCGTGTACATAGGATAAAAAAAACAAAAAAACAAAAAACGAGCATATTTGGCTATAGTTTAGCATAAAATAAATAAGTCCCGGTTTAGACCTTTTTCAGGCCTGGTTTAGACCTGGTTCAGTCCTGATTCAGTCCTGCTTTAGACGTGCTTTAGTCCTGCTTGCAACAAAACAATCTGAAGAGCCGCTTGGGAGCCAAAAGAACCAGCAGCTTTTAGTGAGCCGAGCCAAAAGAGCCAGTTCTCTAAAAAGAACTGGAATACCCATCACTGGTGTCTAGAATGTGATGCAAAAATGCCATTAAGCCAACCTACTGTCTGTAAATATGATGTAAAGAGGCAGAATAACAATAAATGTTGCCAAAATAAACCCAATTTAAAATCCATCAGAGCCAAACCTAAGTTTTTTAAACAATTCAACATTTACAGTGAATTTTTACATCACTAAATATATCGGCGATTATATTGGCTATCGGCAGCTCCAAACCCCATTATATCGGTTTCATATCGGCCACAGCAAAATCCATATCGGTCGGGCTCTACTTAAAACTATACATTATAAAGGCTTTAAATCAAGATAAGTGTTAAGGCCTCGGTTAGACTTCCTCTTACATGCTTCGCTCCCGTGACTAACACAGCCCGTGCCTGCAGTCTGTCATTACGACTGCACAGATCTGAACCTGTCGAGGAAATGGTAAAATACAGGGCTCTGGAGACGTAATGACAGGAGTGGAGAGCAGAGTCAGCCAGGCTCACAGGAAGAGGAGCTGAGACTGAAAACAGGGCGCCCACAAGAGGAAAACAACTAGATCTGTGATAGGTCTGGATAAACAATGTTTGTTTACAGGAGAATATGATGAAATAGCAACTCATTTATTTAAGATGCAATGTCACGTTGAGGGTCCGCTACCTGCTTGCCTTAATAAAAATAGCAGTTTTGCTTTGGAATGTGTCACAGTATGGCATTAAAGGTGCGCTATGTAACTTTTTTGTTGGGGTCCGTCGGCTGCTTGTTTATAGATATGTCGGGTCAGCTCTACCTTGCATTTATTAAATTACAGGTGGTTTTATAGCTCAAAAATACCTACAAAAACAAGGTTGCCTCTCCACAGATCTGGCCTCTAACTTGGTCTGGTTTGTTCTCCATGAAGATAGAATGGTTTAATGCCATACTGTGAAACATTCCAGACAAAGCAGTAACATCTCCATGGAAAAAAGCAATTAAGGGATCTTCCTCTAGAAAGGTTACACAATCACACATTTATTCAATTACACATGATTTTAGTTCTCCAAAATACATCGAAAAACTTAAAAAACCTCCTCAGATTTGACCTGTAACTTGGTTTTCTGGGATTACATGTTTGTGTCCATGGAGATAGAAAAGCTTAATGCCCTACCGTGGAACCTTTAAAGCAACACAACAGTAACCTTCTGTCACCTGCATGTTTCCATTAAAACAGAAATATAAATCCATACTTAGAAACATTTTCCATGCAGATAGATATGTTTTATGCCATACTGTGGAAGATTATAACCAAAGCAAACAAAAAAACAAATATCAGTCAGTTTTGTGGAGAACCAAGCCCGTTTAGAGTAAGTTTTTTTTCATTATCATAAAGAATAAACAGAATTTTAATTTCCACGAGCACAAGAATGAGACAAGACGAGATTATGACATAATTTTGTAATCAATAGTGCGATCAAATTCACAGTTCTGGCCTCACCATTTTATTTATTTCATGTTGCTTATTGCAGTACTGCTTTGTATAACTCGTCAGCTCTTAAATCTTTTTATCAAAGCCAAACATAAATTCAGCGGGGAAAATCTCACAAGATCATTTTTCTCATGTAGGCAGCATTTTATTTTCTCTTGCAAGATCTTGTGGCACGAGATCTTGTCCATCTCTAGTGACATTTGCAGACAACAGCCTATAGGTCAGCGGCTCTATTTGAAAGTATTTGGACTAGAGAAAGACCAGATATTTGGGTTGGCTGATATGTTGGGCCCTTTTTGGCATATCAGATATCGGCCTTAAATCTCCAGTAGAGGCCGATATTTTGTTTGGCCCAAGCAGCAAGTCATGGTCATATGCATTAAGAATCTGAACTATTAAATCCAAAAGCACAACTACTGCACAAATGTGACTTCACTCGTCCTTCATCCAGTGTGTAGGAAAACAAGGCCGTGGGTGAGTTTATATCTAATTCAAATTCAATAAGCTGGGAAAAATCTACAAAATCATCTCTACATACCATCCCTAAAAATATCGGCAGAGCTTATCGGCTTCTCAGGACCAGTATCGACATCGGCCATGGAGAAACGCATATGAGCTGATCTCTAATTTAGACTCTATGTAATTACATGAGTTAAAATCCAACAAATATTCACAAACAGAGAACTTCAATCTAACCAAATCCTTTATAAAGAAAGAGAGAAGATGAAATCAGAGCAG